TTCTCTGTCAGGTTCTCTGTAGGTTCTCTGTCAGGTTCTCTGTCAGGTTCTCTGTCAGGTTCTCTCTCAGGTTCTCTGTCAGGTTCTCTGTCAGGTTCTCTGTCAGGTCCTCTGTCAGGTTCTCTGTAGGTTCTCTGTCAGGTTCTCTGTAGGTTCTCTGTCAGGTTCTCTGTCAGGTCCTCTGTCAGGTTCTCTGTCAGGTCCTCTGTCAGGTTCTCTGTCAGGTTCTCTGTCAGGTCCTCTGTCAGGTCCTCTGTCAGGTCCTCTGTCAGGTTCTCTGTCTGGTTCTCTGTCAGGTCCTCTGTCAGGTCCTCTGTCAGGTTCTCTGTCAGGTTCTCTGTCAGGTTCTCTGTCAGGTTCTCTGTAGGTTCTCTGTCAGGTTCTCTGTAGGTTCTCTGTCAGGTTCTCTGTCAGGTTCTCTGTCAGGTCCTCTGTCAGGTTCTCTGTCAGGTTCTCTGTCAGGTTCTCTGTCAGGTTCTCTGTCAGGTTCTCTGTAGGTTCTCTGTCAGGTTCTCTGTCAGGTTCTCTGTCAGGTTCTCTGTCAGGTTCTCTGTAGGTTCTCTGTCAGGTTCTCTGTCAGGTTCTCTGTAGGTTCTCTGTCAGGTTCTCTGTAGATTCTCTGTACGTTCTCTGTCAGGTTCTCTGTCAAGTTCTCTGTCAGGTTCTCTGTCAGGTTCTCTGTCAGGTTCTCTGTAGGTTCTCTGTCAGGTTCTCTGTAGGTTCTCTGTAGGTTCTCTGTCAGGTTCTCTGTCAGGTTCTCTGTCAGGTTCTCTGTAGGTTGTCTGTCAGGTTCTCTGTAGGTTCTCTGTAGGTTCTCTGTCAGGTTCTCTGTAGGTTGTCTGTCAGGTTCTCTGTAGGTTCTCTGTAGGTTCTCTGTCAGGTTCTCTGTCAGGTTCTCTGTCAGGTTCTCTGTCAGGTTCTCTGTCAGGTTCTCTGTAGGTTCTCTGTCAGGTTCTCTGTAGGTTCTCTGTCAGGTTCTCTGTCAGGTTCTCTGTCAGGTCCTCTGTCAGGTTCTCTGTCAGGTTCTCTGTCAGGTTCTCTGTCAGGTTCTCTGTCAGGTTCTCTGTAGGTTCTCTGTCAGGTTCTCTGTCAGGTTCTCTGTCAGGTTCTCTGTCAGGTTCTCTGTAGGTTCTCTGTCAGGTTCTCTGTCAGGTTCTCTGTAGGTTCTCTGTCAGGTTCTCTGTAGATTCTCTGTACGTTCTCTGTCAGGTTCTCTGTCAAGTTCTCTGTCAGGTTCTCTGTCAGGTTCTCTGTCAGGTTCTCTGTAGGTTCTCTGTCAGGTTCTCTGTAGGTTCTCTGTAGGTTCTCTGTCAGGTTCTCTGTAGGTTCTCTGTAGGTTCTCTGTCAGGTTCTCTGTCAGGTTCTCTGTCAGGTTCTCTGTCAGGTTCTCTGTAGGTTGTCTGTCAGGTTCTCTGTAGGTTCTCTGTAGGTTCTCTGTCAGGTTCTCTGTCAGGTTCTCTGTCAGGTTCTCTGTCAGGTTCTCTGTCAGGTTCTCTGTAGGTTCTCTGTCAGGTTCTCTGTCAGCTGAGGTCGAGCTGTTTTAATTTACATTGAGTTCTATGGGACTTTTTCTGGGTAGCCCTCGTGAATGTAGTCTGCAGTACCACAGCGCCCCCTGTGGCCATGGGTGGGACAGCTGTAAGCTAGTAATACTCTATCCAGTTATTATTATAGATCCATGCTAATGGGCCAAAAAATGTGCTCTACTGGAGCTATCCAAAATGGCCGCAAGTGCCGGCGCAGCTCCATTCATTTAAACGAGAGACTTCTAAAGTCCACAGCGACTAAACTAGACTGGTCCAGAACACTCAGCATTGACACACATGTGGAACGGAGCTTTGGGCCAAGAGACAACTTTTGGACCATCCTGTAAAGACGTTTTCCAGAGGTCTGCTAATGCTATATGTTAGCATTGGCTAATTCTTATTCTGGGTCCACCCCCACAGGCCCGGGGTGGTACTGCAGCATGTCAGGGTCCACCCCCACAGGCCCGGGGTGGTGCTGCAGCATGTCAGGGTCCACCCCCACAGGCCCGGGGTGGTACTGCAGCATGTCAGGGTCCACCCCCACAGGCCCGGGGTGGTACTGCAGCATGTCAGGGTCCACCCCCACAGGCCCGGGGTGGTACTGCAGCATGTCAGGGTCCACCCCACAGGCCCGGGGTGGAACTGCAGCATGTCAGGGTCCACCCCACAGGCCCGGGGTGGTACTGCAGCATGTCAGGGTCCACCCCACAGGCCCGGGGTGGTACTGCAGCATGTCAGCACACGTCATTTTGGCCACTTTTGAGTCGGGACCCGCCCCCACTGGTCTGTAATGAAGTTAAAAAGACAGTGCTGCAGTTTAAGGTTCTACGGAAGCCTTCAAAGGACAATATGTGTCTCCAACCGCTGCTCATTGACCCAGGGCCAAGGAAATGTACACAGCTGCAGAGTTATACACAGCTGCAGGGTTATACACAGCTGCAGAGACTGTTGTTGGTTCTTTTACATAACTGGTCCTCTGTGATCCCTTCTGTAAACTTTGTGTCTGTCTGGTCTCTCTCTGGTCTCTCTCTGGTCTCTCTCTGGTCTCTCTCTGGTCTCTCTCTGGTCTCTCTCTGGTCTCTCTCTGGTCTCTCTCTCTGGTCTCTCTCTGGTCTCTCTCTCTGGTCTCTCTCTGGTCTCTCTCTGGTGTCTCTCTGGTCTCTCTCTCTGGTCTCTCTCTGGTCTCTCTCTGGTGTCTCTCTGGTCTCTCTCTGGTCTCTCTCTGGTCTCTCTCTGGTCTCTCTCTAGTCTCTCTCTGGTCTCTCTCTGGTCTCTCTCTGGTCTCTCTCTGGTCTCTCTCTGGTCTCTCTCTGGTCTCTCTCTGGTCTCTCTCTGGTCTCTCTCTGGTCTCGCTCTGGTCTCGCTCTGGTCTCGCTCTGGTCTCCCTCTGGTCTCGCTCTGGTCTCCCTCTGGTCTCCCTCTGGTCTCCCTCTGGTCTCGCTCTGGTCTCTCTCTGGTCTCCCTCTGGTCTCCCTCTGGTCTCTCTCTGGTCTCTCTCTGGTCTCCCTCTGGTCTCCCTCTGGTCTCGCTCTGGTCTCTCTCTGGTCTCGCTCTGGTCTCCCTCTGGTCTCCCTCTGGTCTCCCTCTGGTCTCCCTCTGGTCTCCCTCTGGTCTCTCTCTGGTCTCCCTCTGGTCTCCCTCTGGTCTCGCTCTGGTCTCCCTCTGGTCTCCCTCTGGTCTCGCTCTGGTCTCCCTCTGGTCTCTCTCTGGTCTCTCTCTGGTCTCTCTCTGGTCTCCCTCTGGTCTCCCTCTGGTCTCCCTCTGGTCTCCCTCTGGTCTCCCTCTGGTCTCGCTCTGGTCTCTCTCTGGTCTCTCTCTGGTCTCTCTCTGGTCTCTCTCTGGTCTCTCTCTGGTCTCCCTCTGGTCTCGCTCTGGTCTCTCTCTGGTCTCCCTCTGGTCTCCCTCTGGTCTCTCTCTGGTCTCTCTCTGGTCTCCCTCTGGTCTCCCTCTGGTCTCCCTCTGGTCTCGCTCTGGTCTCTCTCTGGTCTCGCTCTGGTCTCGCTCTGGTCTCCCTCTGGTCTCCCTCTGGTCTCCCTCTGGTCTCCCTCTGGTCTCTCTCTGGTCTCCCTCTGGTCTCCCTCTGGTCTCGCTCTGGTCTCCCTCTGGTCTCCCTCTGGTCTCGCTCTGGTCTCCCTCTGGTCTCCCTCTGGTCTCCCTCTGGTCTCCCTCTGGTCTCCCTCTGGTCTCTCTCTGGTCTCCCTCTGGTCTCCCTCTGGTCTCTCTCTGGTCTCCCTCTGGTCTCCCTCTGGTCTCCCTCTGGTCTCCCTCTGGTCTCCCTCTGGTCTCGCTCTGGTCTCTCTCTGGTCTCTCTCTGGTCTCTCTCTGGTCTCTCTCTGGTCTCTCTGGTCTCGCTCTGGTCTCGCTCTGGTCTCGCTCTGGTCTCGCTCTGGTCTCCCTCTGGTCTCCCTCTGGTCTCCCTCTGGTCTCCCTCTGGTCTCGCTCTGGTCTCCCTCTGGTCTCCCTCTGGTCTCCCTCTGGTCTCGCTCTGGTCTCTCTCTGGTCTCCCTCTGGTCTCGCTCTGGTACCTGGCAGGTGTTGGACCACAGTGATCCCGTGTTTTCTCAGATCGTCTGCGTTCCCGACTCCAGACAACATCAGCAGCTGAGGAGAGTTTATGGCTCCTCCGCTGAGAATCACCTCCTTCTCTGCAAAGACCTGGCAACCACAGCAGACATTATACAACCTGGCAACCACAGCAGACACTACACAACCTGGCAACCACAGCAGACATTATACAACCTGGCAACCACAGCAGACATTATACAACCTGGCAACCACAGCAGACATTATACAACCTGGCAACCACAGCAGACATTATACAACCTGGCAACCACAGCAGACATTATACAACCTGGCAACCACAGCAGACATTATACAACCTAGCAACCACAGCAGACATTATACAACCTGGCAACCACAGCAGACATTATACAACCTGGCAACCACAGCAGACATTATACAACCTGGCAACCACAGCAGACATTATACAACCTGGCAACCACAGCAGACTTATACAACCTGGCAACCACAGCAGACATTATACAACCTGGCAACCACAGCAGACATTATACAACCTGGCAACCACAGCAGACATTATACAACCTGGCAACCACAGCAGACATTATACAACCTGGCAACCACAGCAGACATTATACAACCTGGCAACCACAGCAGACATTATACAACCTGGCAACCACAGCAGACATTATACAACCTGGCAACCACAGCAGACATTATACAACCTGGCAACCACAGCAGACATTATACAACCTGGCAACCACAGCAGACATTATACAACCTGGCAACCACAGCAGACATTATACAAATTGGCAACCACAGCAGACATTATACAACCTGGCAACCACAGCAGACATTATACAACCTGGCAACCACAGCAGACATTATACAACCTGGCAACCACAGCAGACATTATACAACCTGGCAACCACAGCAGACATTATACAACCTGGCAACCACAGCAGACATTATACAACCTGGCAACCACAGCAGACATTATACAACCTGGCAACCACAGCAGACATTATACAACCTGGCAACCACAGCAGACATTATACAACCTGGCAACCACAGCAGACATTATACAACCTGGCAACCACAGCAGACATTATACAACCTGGCAACCACAGCAGACATTATACAACCTGGCAACCACAGCAGACATTATACAAATTGGCAACCACAGCAGACATTATACAACCTGGCAACCACAGCAGACATTATACAACCTGGCAACCACAGCAGACATTATACAACCTGGCAACCACAGCAGACATTATACAACCTGGCAACCACAGCAGACATTATACAACCTGGCAACCACAGCAGACATTATAAAACCTGGCAACCACAGCAGACATTATACAAATTGGCAACCACAGCAGACATTATACAACCTGGCAACCACAGCAGACATTATACAACCTGGCAACCACAGCAGACATTATACAAATTGGCAACCACAGCAGACATTATACAAATTGGCAACCACAGCAGACATTATACAACCTGGCAACCACAGCAGACATTATACAACCTGGCAACCACAGCAGACATTATACAACCTGGCAACCACAGCAGACATTATACAACCTGGCAACCACAGCAGACATTATACAACCTGGCAACCACAGCAGACATTATACAACCTGGCAACCACAGCAGACATTATACAAATTGGCAACCACAGCAGACATTATACAACCTGGCAACCACAGCAGACATTATACAAATTGGCAACCACAGCAGACATTATACAACCTGGCAACCACAGCAGACATTATACAAATTGGCAACCACAGCAGACATTATACAACCTGGCAACCACAGCAGACATTATACAACCTGGCAACCACAGCAGACATTATACAACCTGGCAACCACAGCAGACATTATACAAATTGGCAACCACAGCAGACATTATACAAATTGGCAACCACAGCAGACATTATACAACCTGGCAACCACAGCAGACATTATACAACCTGGCAACCACAGCAGACATTATACAACCTGGCAACCACAGCAGACATTATACAAATTGGCAACCACAGCAGACATTATACAACCTGGCAACCACAGCAGACATTATACAACCTGGCAACCACAGCAGACATTATACAACCTGGCAACCACAGCAGACATTATACAAATTGGCAACCACAGCAGACATTATACAACCTGGCAACCACAGCAGACATTATTCTTGGGTTCCATACGACGTCAGGGCAGTGGCGCGAATAACAAACGTAGGACAGGACGTGACGTGTCCTGGCGCTGCAGTCTGCCGGGTTTATACACTGTGGTTGCCAGGTTGTATAATGTCTGCTGTGGTTGCCAATTTGTATAATGTCTGCTGTGGTTGCCAATTTGTATAATGTCTGCTGTGGTTGCCAGGTTGTATAATGTCTGCTGTGGTTGCCAGGTTGTATAATGTCTGCTGTGGTTGCCAGGTTGTATAATGTCTGCTGTGGTTGCCAGGTTGTATAATGTCTGCTGTGGTTGCCAATTTGTATAATGTCTGCTGTGGTTGCCAGGTTGTATAATGTCTAGTGGGGGGGGGGGGGAGGGTGAGGAGGGGAGGAAGTGGAGAGAGGGTGAGGAGGGGAGGAAGGGGAGAGAGGGTGAGGAGGGGAGGAAGGGGAGAGAGGGTGAGGAGGGGAGGAAGGGGAGAGAGGAGGGGAGAGAGGGGGAGGAAGTGGAGAGGAGGGTGAGTAGGTTTGAGAGGGGGGGGAGGGGGAGAGGAGGCAGTCATAATGCTGAATGTTCACGCCTTTGAAACTGTGACATGTGGTCATGTGACATCACCTGATGTTCACCCGAACGTTTAAGGTGTATTCATACTTTTGTAAGACACTGGTTGCCAGGTTGTATAATATGTGCTTGTGGTTGCCAGGTTGTATAATATGTGCTTGTGGTTGCCAGGTTGTATAATATGTGCTTGTGGTTGCCAGGTTGTATAATATGTGCTTGTGGTTGCCAGGTTGTATAATGTGTGCTTGTGGTTGCCAGGTTGTATAATGTCTGCTGTGGTTGCCAGGTTGTATAATGTGTGCTTGTGGTTGCCAGGTTGTATAATGTGTGCTTGTGGTTGCCAGGTTGTATAATGTGTGCTTGTGGTTGCCAGGTTGTATAATGTGTGCTTGTGGTTGCCAGGTTGTATAATGTCTGCTGTGGTTGCCAGGTTGTATGCCACCAGAGAGAGACCAGAGAGAGACCAGAGAGAGACCAGAGAGAGACCAGAGAGAGACCAGTGAGGAGACCAGAGGGAGACCAGAGACGAGACCAGAGAGAGACCAGTAGCGAGACCAGAGAGAGACCAGAGAGAGACCAGAGAGAGACCAGAGAGAGACCCAGAGAGAGACCAGAGAGAGACCAGAGAGAGACCAAGAGAGAGACCAGAGAGAGACCAGAGGAGACCAGAGAGAGGGACCAGAGAGAGACCAGAGAGAGACCAGAGAGAGACCAGAGAGAGACCAGAGAGAGAGACCAGAGAGAGACCAAGAGAGAGACCAGAGAGAGAGACCAGAGGAGACCAGAGAGAGACCAGAGAGAGACCAGAGAGAGAGACCAGAGAGAGACCAGAGAGAGACCAGAGAGAGACCAGAGGGAGACCAGAGAGAGACCAGAGGAGAGACCAGAGGAGAGACCAGAGGAGAGACAGAGAGAGACCAGAGAGAGACCAGAGAGAGACCAGAGAGACCAGAGAGAGGAGACAGAGGAGGACGATGACCAGAGAGATGAGACCAGAGAGAGAGGACCAGAGAGAGAGCCCCAGAGGAGAGACCAGAGAGAGACCCCAGAGAGAGAGACCCAGAGCGAGACCAGAGGGGAGACCAGAGGGAGACCAGAGGGAGACCAGAGGGAGACTCAGAGAGAGACCAGGACCAGAGGGACCAGAGACCAGAGGGAGACCAGAGGAGACCAGAGCGAGAGAGAGACCAGAGAGAGACCAGAGCGAGACCAGAGGGAGACCCAGAGAGACCAGAGGACCAGAGGGAGAGAGACCAGAGAGAGACCAGAGAGAGACCAGAGGGAGACCAGAGGGAGACCAGAGAGAGACCAGAGAGAGACCAGAGAGAGACCAGAGGGAGACCAGAGGGAGACCAGAGCGAGACCAGAGGGAGACCAGAGCGAGACCAGAGCGAGACCAGAGCGAGACCAGAGAGAGACCAGAGAGAGACCAGAGAGAGACCAGAGAGAGACCAGAGAGAGACCAGAGAGAGACCAGAGAGAGACCAGAGAGAGACCAGAGAGAGACTAGAGAGAGACCAGAGAGAGACCAGAGAGAGACCAGAGAGAGACCAGAGAGACACCAGAGAGAGACCAGAGAGAGACCAGAGAGAGAGACCAGAGAGACACCAGAGAGAGACCAGAGAGAGACCAGAGAGAGAGACCAGAGAGAGACCAGAGAGAGAGACCAGAGAGAGACCAGAGAGAGACCAGAGAGAGACCAGAGAGAGACCAGAGAGAGACCAGAGAGAGACCAGAGAGAGACCAGACAGACACAAAGTTTACAGAAGGGATCACAGAGGACCAGTTATGTAAAAGAACCAACAACAGTCTCTGCAGCTGTGTATAACCCTGCAGCTGTGTATAACTCTGCAGCTGTGTACATTTCCTTGGCCCTGGGTCAATGAGCAGCGGTTGGAGACACATATTGTCCTTTGAAGGCTTCCGTAGAACCTTAAACTGCAGCACTGTCTTTTTAACTTCATTACAGACCAGTGGGGGCGGGTCCCGACTCAAAAGTGGCCAAAATGACGTGTGCTGACATGCTGCAGTACCACCCCGGGCCTGTGGGGTGGACCCTGACATGCTGCAGTACCACCCCGGGCCTGTGGGGTGGACCCTGACATGCTGCAGTTCCACCCCGGGCCTGTGGGGTGGACCCTGACATGCTGCAGTACCACCCCGGGCCTGTGGGGGTGGACCCTGACATGCTGCAGTACCACCCCGGGCCTGTGGGGGTGGACCCTGACATGCTGCAGTACCACCCCGGGCCTGTGGGGGTGGACCCTGACATGCTGCAGCACCACCCCGGGCCTGTGGGGGTGGACCCTGACATGCTGCAGTACCACCCCGGGCCTGTGGGGGTGGACCCAGAATAAGAATTAGCCAATGCTAACATATAGCATTAGCAGACCTCTGGAAAACGTCTTTACAGGATGGTCCAAAAGTTGTCTCTTGGCCCAAAGCTCCGTTCCACATGTGTGTCAATGCTGAGTGTTCTGGACCAGTCTAGTTTAGTCGCTGTGGACTTTAGAAGTCTCTCGTTTAAATGAATGGAGCTGCGCCGGCACTTGCGGCCATTTTGGATAGCTCCAGTAGAGCACATTTTTTGGCCCATTAGCATGGATCTATAATAATAACTGGATAGAGTATTACTAGCTTACAGCTGTCCCACCCATGGCCACAGGGGGCGCTGTGGTACTGCAGACTACATTCACGAGGGCTACCCAGAAAAAGTCCCATAGAACTCAATGTAAATTAAAACAGCTCGACCTCAGCTGACAGAGAACCTGACAGAGAACCTACAGAGAACCTGACAGAGAACCTGACAGAGAACCTGACAGAGAACCTGACAGAGAACCTGACAGAGAACCTACAGAGAACCTACAGAGAACCTGACAGACAACCTACAGAGAACCTGACAGAGAACCTGACAGAGAACCTGACAGAGAACCTGACAGAGAACCTACAGAGAACCTACAGAGAACCTGACAGAGAACCTACAGAGAACCTACAGAGAACCTGACAGAGAACCTACAGAGAACCTGACAGAGAACCTGACAGAGAACCTGACAGAGAACTTGACAGAGAACCTGACAGAGAACGTACAGAGAATCTACAGAGAACCTGACAGAGAACCTACAGAGAACCTGACAGAGAACCTGACAGAGAACCTACAGAGAACCTGACAGAGAACCTGACAGAGAACCTGACAGAGAACCTGA